ATATATAAATAAAAAATTTAAATTTATTTCCTGTGGGAATTTATTCTCAAAAAATAATTTATCCAGACAGTGGAGTAGATTTGTTGTTCAGCTCCCCTTCATTATTGACACATTTCTTTAGTTTCAATGTCTGCAGCATCACTTTAAGATGTGAAATTACTAACGTATAGAGCTAAGGAACCTAGTGTTGCCACAGTGGCTGACTGGAAAAGCTGGAAAAGAAATTGTTTGTGGCTCCCCCGTGAAAAGAGAAATACCTCATGGTCTTTAGTGAGAGCAGTACAGAAGTAGATTTAGTGTCAAAGTGTTGTGAATCTCTTTTGCTAAATGTCTGTAGTATTTGATATTCATTCTCTTTAACTAGGAGAATACACTAGTTAGGTATCAATGCTAGCACACTTTGTCATTCTTCTTTGAAAGGGTAGTTGTTAAGAATTACATCTCTCTCTAGTAGACTTTCTTCCAACTGTTGTCAAGATCTCTTTAAAGCGTGGAGTTCGAATAAGTGAACCAACATTTGGTATTAATTAGCTGAAAAAATGACCTGAGGTGTGTTGGCTAGATTTTTTTTTTTTAAAGTTGAATTGATCAAAATGTGTTTTTAATATAAAGTTAACACCACACAAATACCTCCTTGAATTGAACTGGATGTTTTGGGTGACGGTGGCCATTAGATTTATTTTTTTATTATTATAATTATTGTACTTTTTCAGTCTGGTATTACAAGGCAGAAGAGTCTGATCAGACTTGCAGAGTTGAACACTTTCACTTTTGGGTGTACCAGCCTATCTCAATGAAGTGAGATAAGCCACGCTCATTTCTGTACAACCAGAACAGGTTTCTCTGTTCAGAGCTGATTTAACTCTCAAAGAACCAAGGTCTGAGTATTGAGCTTCTGACTTCCATCCGGTTAGCTCTCTGCCTTTTGCAAGAACAATGCTGCTTAATTTATTTATTGTAAATTGTTTATTAGTTAGTGACGAATTTAGTCCTTGGTGGTTTTCATGATTCCAAATGCAACCTAAGATTTTATTTTCAAGGACGAGCATAATGAACATTCAATTCCTTTTAAGTAGATTCACTTAAAATTAAATTTTCTTAACCTCGGTGTCAATGAGAAAGGCTGATAGATTGATGCAAAAATATGTTACTGCATTAAAAAGATTGAGAGGGCACATCTGAATAAAACAGCCTCCTTAAATACATCTCCTAGGTAGTTTTCTTCCTGACCGAATCAAACAAAGGTTCAGTAGCACTTCGTGTAGCTGCGTTAGCCCAGCTGCATGGTGTTGCTTTCAGATTTAGAGTTAGACTCTAGACATACTCAAAATTAAGACAAAATTTAAATGTCTAAATTTTGACTCTAAATTAGTCTTTGATACTAAATGTTTGGACAATTTCTTTCCTGGAGTGTAGCAAAGTCTACAGAGTTGACTAGAACTGATGAAGGGGACAGGAAAATGTGTCACAAAGATAAGGAAGGTTCATACTAATTTCCCCATTTTTTGAACAGAATGAAAAACAGAATTATGATTTATTATGAAAACTGGCATTAGAGTTATTGTTATTTGTGACTTCAGAGTGAGATTTCACTAAGCTGGCAAAGAAAAACAAGGCAACTTTACAAAGGATGGAAAACGAAAGTTAGTTTTTTAGCTTTGTGCTTGAAGTAACCCAGGAATAACAGTACGAGCCTAATTACTGTCAGTGGTATTGTATTTAAAGGCCTTTTGAGTTAGACTCTGGGTTCTGCCAGAACCTCGAGATAGTTTTTAGTAAATTTGACTGCTTAATACTCTAATGACTATTTATATTATGAAAGAAACTTTTGAAAAAAATTAGGGGAGAGAAAAAAGTTTCTGTACTTATTGTTCTGTTCTTCTGTTGAAAATGTTACTCACCATGGGAGAAAATTTTCATAATTCTTGGGTTATTTAGAAACTTAATTCTAACTTTTATCTCTCTCTCCTACTGTTGCCCACTGTGAAAAATACCTAGCAGCAGATCGCTGCTTTTCCTAGCTTTTGAAGGCAGAAGTTGGATATGGGTGAATGCTGTCTAGTCACTTAGATCATAAGTGCAGCTCATAATTTGCTGAAATCTTCGAACCATTGCTCACTTTCATTCTTTTTTTATTCCCCCCCTCCCCGCCCCCCCCTTAGCAATAAACTGCCAATGTAGCTTAGGTTACTGGTCATTAAATGTCACGTTGAGGCACTGAGGTTAATGAAATGGTTTTAAATGAGTTGATTGTAAAAAGCGATTAACCCCTTTTTTTTCTTTTTGTTTTTCTTCTGTAGGACATGCATCACTTTGAGGAAGAATTAACGTGTTCCGTTTGCTACAGCATCTTTGAAGATCCACGCGTCCTGCCCTGTTCCCATACGTTTTGTAGGAATTGCCTGGAAGGCGTTCTTCAGCTGTCGAGCAACTTTGCCATTTGGAGACCCCTGAGAGTTCCTCTGAAGTGTCCTAACTGTAGGAGCATTGTTGAAATTCCGGCTGCTGGTACTGAATCGTTGCCTGTCAACTTTGCACTGAAAGCCATTATTGAAAAATACCAACAGGAAGATCACTCCGATGTGGCAACCTGCAGCGAACACTATAGACAACCGCTGAACGTTTACTGTCTTTTGGACAGAAAATTGGTGTGCGGCCATTGCCTTACAATAGGAAAACACAACGGCCATCCCATAGATGACCTCCAGAGTGCCTACGTAAAAGAAAAGGAGACTGCTGGAAAACTTCTCAAGCAGCTCACTGATAAACACTGGACTGATGTCTGTTTGCTTCTTGAAAAGCTGAAAGAACAGAAGTCCCGGTGTGAAAGCATTGTTCAGGACGATAGAAAAATAGTAGTACAGTATTTTAAGAAACTTGGCGATACCTTGGAGCACAAAAAACAAGCTCTGCTGATTGCCCTGGATGAAATTAACACACGCGTTTTGGAAGAATATGAGCCTCTCATCGAGAGGTTGAAAAAAATAAGGGAAGAACAGCTCGAATTAATGTCACTGAATACATCTATTCAGGAAGAAGAGTCGCCACTGATTTTTCTGGAGAAGGTGGATGATATGCATCAACGTATAAAAGCTTTGAAACGGAAGCAACTACCGGATGTTAACCCTGTGGAGATTTATCCAAGGATTGGGCACCTGTTGAAAGATGTGTGGTCTAAAACTGAAATCGGTCAGATCAACAAGGTTGTCATTCCAAAAATAAAACTGATTCCAAAAAGGCAGTTACGCAGCAAAGGTGGTGGAAAGCAAGGAAGAGAACCTAAAGAACTCCTCCAGGCTGTCAATCCTTTCGCAGTCCTGCTTCTTTTTATAACAATGATAGTAGTAACTGTGTGTTCATTTCACAAACCGGTGTCGTCAGTTGTAATCAAAGCTACTCCTGCTTATATCTTGGAATTCTTGCTGCTTATTTATCAAAACTTCTGCACCCGTTTGGAGAATATAGTGGATGTGCTGTGCCATACATTTAATTTACTGATGGAGTTTTTAGGGAGAATTGTTTCTCTTTGACTATTTCAGTGATTTGCTAAAAGTTAGTGTAGGAATCCACAGGGGTTTTTTTAATCAGTACTTAAAAGCTGGATTGTTAAAGCTCTACACTTTGCCTTTCTGTTTCCGTATCCTTCCTTTTTCTCTATTGTGTAGGTTTCCTCTTAGTTAACTGAGAAGATTTGCAACAAAAAAGGCTTCCTCTTCTGCTCAGGCAGCAGGGTAGGTTGGTAGGTGCTTGTTCAAACCGGAAGCTGGTTGGAAACAACGTCTGCATAAGAAAGCTTACGAATTGTAATCCAGAGTCCTCTTTGTGAAAACTCCTTAAACATCTACTATCTTTTAATTTTTTTTATGGTAACATAATTTTAGATTGTTTTTTTTAATAAAAGCACTACAACATGAAAGGTTAAAAGAAGACCTCAGGCTGCACACCAGCTAGTCCTGGAGGGGTCAGTCACCAGCCCTGGTGTGTATAAAACTCCTGTTTATTTGGTGTTTTACTGACCGCTCTCTGAATGTATTTTAACGCGTACAGCAGTGGGCTTTAAAGCCTATATTCATGGCCCTGGCTTTCATTTTGTTTGTTCCTGGTTGTTAGTGGATGACATGATTTCATGTTTTTTTTTTGGTCGTTCCCCCCGCCCCCCCCGGTGTATAACAACTCCGTGCCTTTCAGGGGGTTCTCTCCCCGTGACAGAGCAGTAGCTGTGGGACTTCTGGTGAAACGCTGCCCACAGCTTTGTGGTGCCGGCTGCGCGCAGGCGCGGTGGTTGCTCGGTGTGGCAGGGAGCTCTCCCACCTGACTCCAGGGAGCCCTGACTTTCTGCGAAATCGCGTAATGCGTAGTGACAGTCGGTACGCACCGTGGGCGGTAGCAAATCTCCGACCCAAGTCAGCGGTGAAAGGATTTCAGATGTTGTCAAGAGCTTTTAAAACAACTTGACAATGTAGAGTTATATTCAGTTTTTTTCAGCACAAATAAGAGATCTTTACCTTGACGGAGATGAAACACAATAGCATTTTATTCTGCAGTCGCGTGGTCACTGACACTTTTGATGAGGTGCTTCAGTCTGAACTGTGCTTGGGAGCAAAACCCCCAGTAACAGCCAGTTTTGGCCTTCAGTTGTTAGTGGGCTGATTACGGTCAGTACTGGACGTTGCAGTTATGACAGCAGAACACAGGTGAGCTTACAGTTCACTAATGATTTGATACCCAAAAATGAGTATTCACCATGTCTAATTCTGTTTGACTTAAGAAAAATAATAGTATAGTCTAGCATGGCACCGTTCCTTGGCTGTTGTATATTTTTAAATAATTGAAGTTGTTTAAATGATTGAATTCTGAGGCTAGGCTTCAGCTACTTGGGATTTTAAACCCTCGTGCAAACCGAACCTTCCCCGTTGCTACCAGCAGACGCTCCTGGGGTGCTGCAAAACACCCATCGCTGCCAGCCTTGTTTGAGAGCCGAGAGCAAGGTCAGTCCTCAGTTGCTGATACGTTCCTTTAGCCTCGCTAAAGATCCTAGTGACAACATGGATGCCCTACTATTGCTGTATCCGTAAAACACCGTCTCTGCAGCTTGCCGGGTTTGATTGCCTCAGTTTGGCAGCGAGGCAGGAGCCAGCACTGCTTCAGGTTTCTGTCATTTGTACCTAAGTTTCCTGTAACCTTTTAGAGTGACAAAGGGAAACGCCTTCGTTAATGCCACTGGTCAGGTGCTGAAACGGTGTTTTGGTGCACCCTGGGCCTGTGTAAATGCTGTCAGATTAATTTCCCGATAAAGTTGGGAATTTGTTTTTATCTTAAGCCCTACTAGAAGGCTGTCACTTGGCACCAAAGTCTCTCAAAACCAGGTGCTAAGTGTCTGTCCACTACTGTGTGAGGCTTCTTTTTTTGTCTGACTTTTAAAAACTTACAGAGTTTATAATGCAATTTTATTTTTCAAGACTACAAGAATTTATAAAATGCCTTTAGCACCAGTTGAAACATACGGTACTTGTACTTATAATGCACTATGTATTTTAATAAATTTGCATACAAATAAAATGTATTCTTACAGTAGGACAGGCTAACACCTTGATTTCCTTGCACAGCACCTTCCCTCTGACCCTAAACAGCGCCGAACCGGAGAGAGGAGAGGGAGCAGCAGGAGCCCCGTGGCTGCCTCCTTTTCTTCCAAGTGCCCCCCAGTTGGGCTTCTGTCAGGGTGCCCTTCAGCAAGATTCGCTGCATTGGGTCGGCGCTCGCCCCAGGCCTCTTTTACTGATTTTTTTTTCCTGAGCGCGGGTGCGTGAGGAAGCCAGCGAGGTAACTGCGGTTTCTGGGAAGCGCTGTAAGCAGCTTCTCGTTTTCCTCTTGCCCCAGCACGCTGTGGGGGGGTCACACAGCTGAGATGGGCTGCTCCAGCCTGGCTCTTTCTGTCGTCTGGGCTGGATACAAGCCCTGCATGCTGAGTTTCACGTGACAGGGATGGAAACCTTTTCAAGAAAATAAAATCTTTTAAACTGCATTTTAATGGAGGTGGGAGAGGGGGTTTGTACCCTGTCAAACCTAGGGTGTTTGGGTTTTTTTCTCATCTTTTGAGCTGTCCTCTTTTGAAACCTCATTTTAGAAGTGTAAGTCTTACTGCATGCATTTAGGTTTGTGGTTTGTTTTTCTTTTTTAGTGAGGAAATCTGGTTGACACAGTGTGTGTTGAGGCCCAAGGGGTGGGGGGGAGAGACACTTGTGTTTCCAGGTGTCCGAGGAGCTTGCTGAGAACAGCGCCGGGTGCTGGGGTACTGAGGCAGCCTCTGACGGCGTAATCCTGATATCGCTTTCAGGAACGTCCCTTGCAGGTGAAAATAGCGCGTTGTTCCTTCCCCAGCTCATCGTCCTGCCCTGCAGCTCCTCTCGCACTGCTGCAGAAATCCCAAGACCCAGTCTTAGTGCAAGCGCAGCAGCTGTTGTGCTTACCGTTCCTCTGCCCCGCTGTGGCTTTCCTTGCTGCTTTAGTCTTCGTTATTCTTCCGCGGGTCTCTTTAGCAGGGCTGCCGCTCGTGTTCTGTGCCGCTCGTGTTCTGTGCCGCTCGTCTTGGCTGCGCTTGCCCCGACATTTGTCCTGAAGCTGGAACGCAAGATTTTCTAGCTTCATCGTGAGATGAGAAAGCCAAAACGGCGCTCAGTGCTCCTGGCTGATGTGGGGCTGTGGCAGAGAAGGGGTTTGCGGTCTGGTTTGTCTCATTCCGTCCCGTGCTTGCGGCTGGTGCTGAGCTGCGGGTTCTGCGACGCTACGCTCTCCTCCTGCCCCTAACTGAGGCAGTGCACGTACACATCACATTCTTCCATGTGCGTTAATTTTCACTTGTTGATATAATCCTAATGTTTAACATGAGATTGAAAGCGCAGCTCTACACTTCACAGCACGTTGTTACAGTACCCACTCCCCCGCTTTGGTTTTCCAGCTCAGCTCCACGTTGATGATTGTGCCGTTTAGGACAGGGTGAGGCTTTCCCTGCCCGTGGGGCTGTAGCTGGCTCTGTAACCGACCCCCTCAGGCCTGGGGCAACACAAGCAGGATAAACTCTGGTTTTGTAAAGGGCCCTTGGTACGAACGCAGCAAGAGCTGGCACGATAAACCAGGACTAACGGCACGGAGTGGAGCGAGCTGGCGGTCTAGGGCTGGCCTTAGCACTGCGGGGAAGGAGTCGGTGTGGGTTTTTGCTGGAAGGATACTGCCCTGAGAGAGAGGCAGTGCGAGCTCAGGGATCAGTACTGGCACAAGGGTGCCAGATACTGGCCTGACTTTAAGGACTGAAATTGCGTGTTTTAGTCCGAAAGTCCAAAAAAATAAAAAATTGGATTCAAAGCAAAACCGTGATGGAAAGGGAGAACGGGCTGTAAGAGCCGGGTGAGCAAGGAGTGGGGCACAGAGCGACCTCCCCTCCCCTCTTCCAGGGGAAGAATTCAGCCCCTTGTGAGGCGATAGCAAAGCGAGCCGATGGCGATTACTGCGCTCATAAACCCCCAGCGCGTGGTCCGAGAGAGAGGGGGGAGTTGTCCCTGCAGGGGAGAGGAAAATCGCTGACGAGCAGCTTCCCCGAGGGACCCAAGTCATCACAAAATGGCTACAGCTGTCCTGACTCCCAGACCTGCCACATCCTCAGCACCCATGCAAGTGATTTTATATACCGACTTGACTTAATAAAATGTTACAGGACACTCTGACGACATTTAAAAGCAATTTGCTTACTTTAATACATACAGTAAAAGAACCAGGCATTTAAAACCAACTGCAGAACCCAAGCATTGACATAAAGCCTACCCGTGGAATTTTAAAATGCAGCTAGATACATAATTTGAGAAATAGCTTTTTTTTTTTTTTCCCCTCAGTTCATATAATTGAGATCTATACAGACTGTATAACTAAGAAAATGGAATTTACCGAGGCTGGTTTTATCAACAAGCTCAAACAAACACAAAAGTAGAAGAAAAAAAATAAATCTCAAATACAAAAGGGTATTAGATAAAAGTAAACAGCAGCAATGAGAACGGGAGTTTATTCCGCTCTATGTTTGAGCTGTACTACACTTAAGAGTGCGGAGTTCAGCCAGTCCTTTGGATGCAATAACTTTGGGGTTTGTTGCCACACTTTTCGTGGTATTGTGAGTCTTATAAATCCCAATTAATCTGTCTGCAATCTCAAACATGTTGTTTCGCAGGGAGATGACGATAAATTGTGCGTTTTTTGTTTGTTCCTGAAACAGAAGGTATTTGTATTAGCCCACGGTATTTCGAAAAAGCTCGGTTCTTGTACGATCTCTACGTTTAGGTGGTGGGAGCTAACGAACCCGTCACTATAAGCAGTTCTGTCATTCAACAAAGGCTGAGGCCTCCGCGCTGCCCAGGACGCTCCCAGCGGGGCTGTCGGCAGGCAGCACTGCCATTTACTTAAGCCCGAGTTCCCTCCTTTTCTTTTACGTGACCTCTTGAAGCAAATTCGACTAAACATACATAATGTCTTTCCAGAGTTGCAATTC